GGAACCAAAAGTTTCAACTTAAACCAGAGTAGATGTGTTAATCGTAACAAGGGAAGGCTGTTTCACGAACGCGACGATCGTCCGATCCGAAGAGTTACATTGTTTCAGGGCTCTCCTGTACTTCACAAGAAACCCTCATCTAGTCACTTCTTATGTTTACAGAGGAAAACGATTTCCAGAGTTTCTAAATCTGCTAAAATCAATAAATAACTTTTCAACCTTTATTGATGACAAAAAGAACGCACACCAAACGCGCTCATCCTGATAAAGGGTTTCATCGACTTCCACACTACCTTTGACTATGCTGATAGAGTCCTTGTGGTACACACTGCGGTTGGACGGGATGACGTTTCACTAACTCAGCGAAACACAGTTAGTGAAGCAATCTGCGACAACAGTGGGCAAGCTATTCACAATAGAGAACAACAGCTTGACCGATGGGCGAAGTACTTCAACAAACAGTTCAGTTGGCCCGGTGTTAACCAAACTATCTCGTCTGGTGTAGTTGAGGCTCCGTGAGAAGTGTCATCTGAACCTCCTACTGCAGCAGAAGTTCAATCTTGCATCCAAGCCTTGAAAAAAGGAAAAGCAGCAGGACCTGACAGGCTTCCACCCACTCTTTTCAAGATGGGGGCAAAGTAATGCTAGAAGACTGGGTGTCACCGGGTTCTGTTCTGAAACTAGACGGTGAGAAATTAGCTGAAGTTGACTGCTTGTCGTACTTAGGGAGCTGCGTGACCGACAACGGTACTGCACCAAAGGAGATAGCCGCCCGCATTTCCAAGGCTCGAGCTGCGTACGCAGGACTAAAACACCTGTGGCGGCGATGTGACGTTTCATTGAAGTTGAAAAGTCGCGTATACTGTGCCACTGTACGATCAGTTCTGCTTTACGGTTGTGAGACTTTGAATTTGCGGGTGGAAGACACCCTTCGTTTAGCAGTGTTTAACATTCGATGCTTACGTAGTCTGGTCCAAGTGGGATGGAGTGAGCGGGTAAGTAACTTAGAAGTAACTCGTCGGGTGTTTGGGAATACATCAAACAAGAACTCGCTATCTCATCGAATCCAGCTCAATAGGCTCCGTTGGTTAGGAAGCGTTTTGCGTATGTCCGCTGAGTTTATACGGGGCTTTGGAGTCAGGCAAATGTGGCCCCTATTGTTGTTATTGTTCTACTACATCGTGAATTGGAAAATGCAACACTAACTGATTGACTACCTTAGAATGTAGCCCAGCCCAGATACATAGATCGCAGACCTCGAGTTTGCGGACGATGTCACTATACTTGGGGACACCGTGGACAACCTCGTCGCTTGTCAATTGCATTAACCAGCTTGCCCAGGCAACTGTGCTGGAGGTCAACACGTCAAAAAACAAGATACGTACGACCGAAACTTCTACCGTGACACAAACCCTCTCGATCAACGAGGAGCCTATCGAATTAAACCAAGCTTTTAAGTATCTTGGTTCTAAAGGTGGACCAAACGGTCAGGATAAGTATGAAATTCGACATTGCATAGATTGAGCTAGAATGACTCTTCAGACTGTTGTGGGATCGCTGCGAAACAAGCCTACAATATATATATATATATCGAGTAGTATATGAATGAACAAAATTTCCCAGAAGCACACGACCGGTTTCACGGTCCCTGCCGCTCGTCAGACATGCGTATCCGGTAATCTTTTATCGGTTCATTTTCATACTTGAACTCTCGACGTGAATTAAGTAACGGAAACCTCATTTGCAGCTCGGGGGAGTTGAATTTGAAACCAACATGTCTCGGAAAATCACTGTGATGACTCTGTGTTAGGTGTTGTGGGCTAGATGCGTCCAACCTCAACCAACTCGACACCAAGGCCGATTTTGTGGGTTTACAATGCGTATCAGAATGACCAGGCAAAATATTACCGGATACGTATACCTCACGAATGACAAGGACCGAGAAACCGGCCGTGAGCTCCTGGGAAATTTTGTTCAGTCATCCATAAACCATTCATTAAAACACAGAGTTGGCTGAGATTGGAAGCATCTAATCTACAACAGAATCGTCGCAATGATTCTCCGAAGCTTGTCTGTCTCAACATGAACTCCCCAAGGTGCAAATGGAATTTGCATTGCTTGATATAAATGTGTCCCCGTGGTAACGAATAAAATCTGGCTTTCGTTTGAACGATATGGAACTGAGAAAATAGATTTGTTCATCGGACTACATGGTTTTCCTATAGAACGAGCGTTGGATCGACTCATCGTCACAGCGTTTAAAGCATACAGATCAAGGGATTGTCGACTTCATGAAAACCAATAACATAGACTGGTAATGGTGGAGCTTACCGAAGCCGTTTTTCTTCTTCGTCCCTGTCTATATCGGGTAAGAAGCTGGTATCAACGGTCGGGTTTTTTCCTAAACGACGCCGTTTTCGATTGTCTGAAACACCACTTTCTGATTCATCAGCTTTCGATTCTCTTTCTTGAGAGTCAGAGTCACTTCCGTTAGGTTTTGCTTTCTTCATCTAAAATTCACCTGAAAAATGATAGAGCAACTGACCCGACTTACTTCATCTAATTCGTCTTTGAACTTCTGAGTGCCCGGTTGATCTTCGCTTTCGTCTTCCCCTTCTTCATCAGGTTCATCGTTGGCGAACGATAATAATACCTAAATAATGTATAAAACTTTAGGGCTGACCATAACAACATACCGGTTGTAGTTTGTTTCTCTTATCAGCCCCACCTATTCCCGATTTGTTGTGCAACCCCCGTTTAGCACCTAAAGCAAGCTCCTTCTCTCGTTGGGTCATAAAAGCTCTTTGTCGGGCCTTCATTTCATCCAATGTGACGAGACCAATCTGTAAAGTTTTATCTCGTTAGGATCAAGTCCTCCATCGACTTACAGTATCCGTTCTCAATTGCTGCTCAATCGCATCGTAATGCACTGCAAATTTTGTTGACATTTCACCGACACGCATTTCAGCTTCCAGTTTTCGCTTCTGCAACTCCAGTTCTTGACGTTCCTTTTCACGCTGTTTCATTAACAAAGCAGCTCGCTGAGCTTCTTTGGCTGCTCCTTTAAAGGTTGCCATGAGGATTTCACGGAAATGAGTGTTTTATAGCACGTTAATTGATTCTTCGATTTCAAATCAGTGCACTCTGCGAGGGAAGATGAAAGAATGAAGTACGTGTATTATTATTATTTTCACACTGAGTCCAAACAAATCACGATACAGTAAGCATTTTAAAAAACGAAAATTCCCTTGATGTGCTCGTGGACGCGATACTGCCGGTGATCACTACAACGACCAGGAAAATGTGTATGGTTCGTACACCGCTTATTGGTTGGTTTGTGTTGGGACGAAGATCATTGCTATTCGTCCCAAGATAAGCCCGGCTGCATATTTGCTACTTTTGTGAAAAAAAACCGAACAAACTTACAACACATCTGAACCCAATTCGGGTCATCTCGGATCGGAGATTATTCAATAATATTGCATCTTACAGCAATACTCACCCTGTCTGTCCGGCTGATCCGTGGCCCACGAACGGTTGAACTTTGCTAACTGTGAAAGCCTCAGTGCGGTCGGGGGTGGGTGTCTAGGGTTGCGGCTGGTCATCCTTTCTCTTGCATCTTGCGAAATGCTCCCATATGACCAAGCGTTTCAAATAGCCTCTGCTGAGTAAGCCCCATTTACTGCCTTCTCTTAGCGGAGGTGTTTTCCCACCAAAGAGAGAGAACGAAAAATCCACATCTGGGGCTATAACCGGATTGCTGGACCACTGGTAGTTCACCCACGGGAGTTGGCGAAAAACCCTGATTCCAAACCAACCAAGAGGAGGAGCACGAACTACGCACACCTTCACGGTTGTGGCAGTGGTCACCGGCTCGATTGGGCACCTTGGACGTTTGATCCGATGAACTGGATACCGGCCCCCAATGGATTGCGGTTTTCACACACCGACCCGCTGCCATGCGGGTCAGACTTTAGCTGGCCGGTTGTGCCTTGGCCTAGGCTTCCTCAGAAGCTGTTTGAGACGCTTGGTTGTATGGGAGCATTTCGCGAGACGTAAGGGAGAGGTGACCAGCTGCAACCCGAGACACCCATCCTCACTAGGTTTAGTTTTGGAGGTAATTAGAGTTCTTGCCTCAGGTGTTCTTATTATAGGGGTATCGTTTTGTTTATAGCACATCCAACGACCGATAATTTAGGGGGAAAATTGTTGTATAAGAATATATGATCTGTGCAGAACTCAAGAAGCCGATCATCGTTATCTGTTCACTGGTAGAGNCCGCGTAGACAGGCTGTTGATGTGCTGTTTTCCAAAGTGCGCGGTGAAGTCACCCGCAAGCAAAACTATGTCGGAGCTTCGATTCATCTTAACAAGTTCGGCAAATTTACCATAGAAATCGTTCTTTTTGTATCAGAACTGTAATGGGTCAGTGCATATAACAATGTGATGAACAAACTTTTTGGTGCTGTTTCCTTTACGGACACCGATTGAACCCTGCAGACGCACTGAACATAAACGAATTTTGGTGACGCAGTGGTTTAGTCGCTGTCACCGACGTGCTTTGGACCCTATGGTCCAAGGTTTGAGCTCCGCCACCGCCATCCAACTTTGGTGGTAGGCAGCTTGGCTGTCGTCCGATTCAATACCACGCCTAACCCAGCGGGGCCTTATGTGGTTTACCACTCCAAGTTCCGGGGCTTAGCTTACCGGTTTCCATCACTGAACAGCAGGTGCTCGTAACGATGGGGTTTATCAGGTCTGCTGCTCATCATACTAAGATGTGTAATAAAGAAATCTAATCGATAAGAGACTCCGCCTTGTTACAACATCTACCCCACGCTGACCAACTGAAGGGGCTTCGTCGTTGCCTGATGTGCGAAGAACGTACCTCAAGTAAAAAGCTGGTGCTCAAGCGGCATATAGTAGTTCGATCCTGAATTCGAGTCTCCGATACGCAACAAATATCGATCCCTATTGTACGCGCCAGAGAAACCTTTTGACCTACCTGTATCAGTCCAAACGTTAAAGGGCCCCAGATTCAGTGATTAACGAGGCTTTAAAATCTGCAGTCCATCTCATGGTTAACTACTTACAGCGCTACCTGTTGTGGCGATGATAGATATAAATATATACACTACTTCGCAACAAAATTTGGCGAGCGACGAATAAGTTCATTGAGGGAAGGTTGAAAGAAGGGGTAAGGGGAAAGTATTGGGTACGAAAGACAGAGTTAAACAAAGGTTGGGATATTCGAGAAGCAACCTACTTATCACTACCCACCCCGCTCGATGCTAAGGTTAGCGCAATCCTGATTATCCTGCGAGACGACCGATGTAGTATGAAATTATTTTTAGTTTGTGTATGCACTGGGGTTTGGACGGGTATCGCCAGGGTGTTCAGTCACTAAGCAGAACGATTGCGGTTCTCAACCCGTCTTTAGTTTTAACAAGAACTCAACCGCAACGCAGCGAGTGAAGAAAAATGGAGGCCCATTTACTTGGATCGATTACACCTTCACCATTTTCACCGACTGAAACGCACAATCTAACCGAACCTCAACCTGGATGGCCAAGAGATTCAGTTCAGTTTGAACAACCATTGACTAGACACTTTCGTTCGCTGGTTTTGGTTGCTGTCTTTTGGCTGCCCTTTTGGCTGAACAACAGGAGATAGACAGGAAGGTTGAAAGTAAAGTGGAATAGAAAATGGAAAATTTCAGTGGCCTAATGTTGCAAAGAAACTGAGATGCACGAACGTCACTGTTTACGACATTCAGCCATATCACTGCTTCTAACCAGTGGTTACGATCATCCGAGGTCCCCATCCATGGAGCCTAACGGGACCCAGTCTCCTGGTTGGAGTTTGCATACCCTCATGCCAGGTTTTAGCTTGACCATCCTTAACTTTCTTCCACCCATTACCTGCTTCGGCGAACATCGCTCGCCGTGGTAACCTATCTGGTGGCATGCGTGTCACAACCAACGTAATCTATGGAGGTGGACCATTTGCTCCAGTGGGCGACCGCAGTTACCCAAAACTCTGCGCACAACCTCAGCTCTTCCGGCTGAAACACCAGATTCGTGCAATACTGCGTGGACAGCGGTGTTCAAACACCGACAGTCTGTCTTTATCCTCTTTTCTTGAGGGCCAAGTTTCTGCACCGTGTAGCAGGACTGGTCAAGCTGCCGCAGCATACACTCGACCCTTCACAGACAGCCGGATGTCGCGACGGCGCCACAGATGTCTCAAGTTGGCAAATGCCAACCCTCCCTTCTGTATGCGAGCTGACACTTCATCCGTGATGCGTCCACCGAGTGAGATGTAGCTACCCAAATAACAAAACTTATCCACCTGCTCCATTATTTCCCCAGTTAGAGTGAGGCTGAGTGCTGGACCAACCCAGTCTTGAAGTAACCAGAAGTCCGTGCTTGACAGGAACAGTCCATGGTCCGCGCAGAGTTGAAGTAGGCCATCTCCGTTGTCCGTCCGGTTGGCT